TAAAATCATATACATACATTTCTTTATACTTGCGTGCATGCGGCATGTAGTACATGTACATATATACACACACAGAATAGGTGAACGCATACGCATATACACATGTATATTCACGTAACTATTAAAATCTCGTTAATTCGAAAATCGTAACATCACGAAATTTCAAAATAGTTTAGACAACGGTTAAAACTTAACAAAGAATTTACTGTTTAACATTAAATTCATATATTCATTATACTGTAAACAGTTCAAATAATGTTAAAAACAAAGAAGTTTACGTCACATTTCAAACAATATGTATAAAAGTTTCAAAAGAGTTAAATCATAGTTATGAATTCTTGTGCAAAATGTAGTACACATGTTTTATGAGAATAGTTAAAGAATTATAACATTGTTTTGCATCTTTGGTATATTTAAAAAAAGCTTTCATCACATGAGAGATCGAATTAACGAGAACAACGTAAAATTGCTCCAGACTACTTCTTAAAATATTTATCCAGAATGGTACGCGTACTTATTCTGTTTGTTGTAAACAAAATATGGTCGTTTAATATATAGTTATCACTAGTATGTACTGTTATAAATAAAATAGTAAACAAAAACTTACGTTTAATCGGAAAGATGTTTTTCTTTATTTACAAGTTATAATCACTATATTCACCGCATTTTAATGTCGAGCATGTCGGTTCATGAAAATCTGACATATCTCATGGACGGTTGAATCGAGTACCTCGTCACTTGTCACGTACCATAAAATAGAATAATACAACTAAATGTATATGAATAACAAAGATTAGTGCATTTTACTAAAAAGTTTCTCAAGAATCGCAATTAAATGCAACAGTAGAATTTGCAGAAAAAGAAAATCAAAATAAAGAAATAAAGAAAAAGTAGAACAAAAGCATATTTTTTAAAAATTATCAAATTATTTTCGCAGAAAAAAAGGACAGAATATTAAAAACATGAAATTTTTACACTACTGAAAATACGAAGTTGTCAAATTTTTAAAAACTTGATCGAATCACGGAAATTTATGAATGAACGAGTTTAAAAAAAATTAATCGTTTAATAATTGACCTTAAAACTGAATAAAAAGTTATTACAAAAAATTATCTAATTATAATTTTTTCAAGTGGATGTCGTAACCCCTTTTCCTTTTATGTATCTATTATAAAAACAATAAAATTATGTAAATAGTATTTAGTTTTACAATGTGAATGTAGCCAATACATATGTATATGTCATATTGTTTGTTACTAGTTATTTATCAAGAATCATGTATTATTTTAACTGTAACGTTTACGTCTATAATAATTAAATCGCTACGTTACATAAATTTATCACACGGTAATTCGTTAATTTATATTCTGAATATGGAAACATTCAGAATTCAAATTAAAAATATATAATTCTTTATGCTTTAAATTAATATAATATACAATACTAACATATATTTCATTTGTAAATTATCTGCAACACTGGATATTTCATTTGTAAGTTTTATAGTAAATTTAAGTCGAAACAAAGCTTACAGCTCACTGAATCACTTACTGTTTTTATACGTCCTTATACATGATAATCGTGATAAATTTTAGATTATAAATACATTACTTGAATAATTCCGAAATCTTTGTACAAATTTTTTCTATGCATTTTTAACACTTCAGGAAGACAATGGTTACATTCATAAATGTTTCTTAACTTTTTACAAGTAATTATACACTTTGTTTATTAAACTACAAAAATGGTCCACAGAGGCTGCAACATAGACGAGATAATTTACTGAATGTATGCATTACTTATTGAAATAAATTAAAAACCGTAATGGATCAAATATATTTTTATGCTTTATATGTTTTAAATACACTTTCAAACTTTGATTTAAGATTAATTAACAATAAATAAGGTTAATCAAATTTGGTCCAATACGGGTCTAATCTTTTCGACTGTACGATTTAGTCTACAATTTACTTATTTTCATCATCCAAGAGCATTCTAATTCATAACAATAAATATGTAATACAATAAATACATTTGTACCCTGTTGGTACTTTTTCGAAATAATAATTCTCTTCCTATCAATTCGAGATTGAAGAAAAGGGGCTACGAAGAATTTGAAGTACATTGTATTATTTACTTGTACGCAATATTGTTTTTACAATAAATTATCTTGAATATATATTTTTAACATACTTAACCTTTCACATCTTTAATTAAGTTTTACATTTTATCAGACTAATTGCAAAAAAAAAAAAAAAAATACATTTAATCTTGAACGTCTAAGTCAATTACTATAATTTGTACAATTCCGAATGAGATTTCATAGGTATATTTAATAAATATTGATTAAAATCAAATAAGTGAATAACGTTTCTATCAAGTTGTGACAATACATATTATAGTTGGACGAATAAAATGATTCTTCCAAATTTAAACAAACCAAAGATCAAAATCTTTTGATCCAGCTTTAGTAGTAAACTTTGATGTATGTGTAGGAAATAAAAAAAAAGTCGTAGGTACGTCTATCAATTCGTCATCTTTCCTGGATTTTGTTCTAAAAAAAAAGGTAATAAAAATATCTTTGGTGCCCCTATTTCACATAATAAAAAGAATATGTTTTTAGAAAAGAGAAAAAACGGAAGCATGAGGAAGTAAGTCTATAACAAAGATTAAAAATTATTAGACAAAAATAGTCTTGTCCACTCTTGTAAAAGTTTATCTCCTAGTGGATTTTCTTCTACCTGTTGATCGCTTTGGGCGTCGACTGTTCGATCGAGACATGTTTGTCCAAGGTAAAGAAAATTCGCTGTAATTATAATGTTCATGGTATAATTAACGTGTTTCTATTTGTTTAATATGTTCATGTGTTATCATTAATATGTTTCTGTTTACCTTGGAGTGAAACTAGGAATAGGAGCACCAAATGCAGTAACAGGTAATTGAGGATCCACTTGAAGACTTTGTATTTGTTCTACATCAGGCCATAATGATGATACAGCTTCTTCTTCAACAGCAGAAGGACAAGGTCCAGTATGATTTGTATTGTAACATGTTGCTTGGTGATTCTGTCGTTCTTGTCTTTGTTTCAACTTTTCAATATGCCTCTGTTCTCTAAGAAGAAAATTTAGTTTGAGACATTTTCTTTTACATGGCTTCAAATAATACTCAACATGTTAATAAAACATAATTAAGAATATTTTGTTTCTTATTATTTCAATCACACAATACAAACCTTATCCTTTGTACATCCCATCTTTTTCTTCTTCTTTCATCATTTTCTAATTTTAAATGTCTTTTGTTAAAAATTTCATCATCCAAGTTCTCAGTTCCTTCCATTGTATAACAGCTTGTATATATTTTTACCCTCCAATTTGGAACTTCTAACGAGGTATCACTTTCTACTGGATTAGGTTCTTTTAAACTTAACGTGTAATTAGAATCCCCAATAGCTGTATAATAATGTTCTTCTGTAGTAAGAAAGGATTCTTTCTTTGTTAGTGGTTTTCCTTTTCTATCACCTTTCCTGTTGCTTTCCAGAGCTAATGTCTTATCTTGTACTGTCAACGATGTGTCATTACTAATAGTAGATGAACAGGAAACACCCCTTTTTCTTTTGCTTCCACCGGATAGTGGCACTGGATCTGTTCTCCTCTTCTTCTTCTCTTCCCATTCTAATCTAATATCATTACCAGTCTCTATTTTTGTCTCATGTTTGCTTTGATTATCATTTGGTTCCTGTTTAACAGTAGTAATTCCACCACTAGTATTCAAACGTATTTTAAAGCTTTCATTGTACTGAGAATTATTGTTCTCAGACTGAATATTCCTGTGAAGTTCACTAGTTGATGGCACATTCACAGAGTTAATAGTTGGAGGGGAACATGCTCCTATATGTTCTGATGTAATGGAATTTTCATTATTTTCTGACCGGAGCTTTTGTAAATTTACACGTCTGTCCATGCGCTCCAAACGTAGCTTAAGCTATAATATAAATACATATATACTATTAGTACTTCCCTCGTAAATCTCAGTAGTAGAAAAAGTTAATTTTGTACATAAATATTTTTTTATGACACTAATGTTAATGAAAATTATATTGCTCCAATTTATTAAAACCATAAAATCTGATTTTGTGTAAAGATAGCCATTATATTTTATCATAATCTACAAATTTATTATTAAAAAATTAGCAACAGTTAATAATAAATATTAAACGTATTGCTCTAAAAATCTGATTACGATTGAATGTGAAAACTTAAATATATAGAAAAGTTAAAGGTTAATCATTTTTCTATTTTACGCAAATACAAGTATTTAATGATAAACATTCACAGAGATTGTACAGTATTCGTTTAAACAAGTTTATTTACTGTCAACAAACGACAAGACAGTCGGGTTTTGCTGTCTCTCCGAATCCCAGGCATGATCATTTCCACAATTAATCACATGTATATATAAGTAACAGAAGGTAGTAGTAACAGCAATATTATCCGCAATAGTACAGCGTAACTTCATCGATTCTTTCAAAATGTTCGTTTTCTCAAAGATTCTTCCATTTTCCATCATGAAAGTACCGTCATTACAAAGGCAGATTGCGCGCGAGAATCGAGCACAACGTATAACGTGCTCCTTGTTTCGAAGATACGATTCTACATGAAACAGCGCCATCGCGCGGTAACGTTACGTCTGACCTTCACGTTCAACTGACCAATGAAAGAAAGAGGAACAAGAACCGGGAAAACAGAATTGAAAGAAAGGGAAGGGCAGAAATACTGACACACGAGCATAAGCGCGGGTATTTTGGAATGCGTCCTGTAAAACAAACTTGACAGATTATGGTAAGTGAATAGAAGAATACGAAATAAGTGGGATGTCGAATGAAATGACATGGCATTCAATAGGCAAGTACCACTGAAAAACATGGAACATTTAATGGTAAAAATGATAGAAAGCAAATGAAAATACCGTTTCGTTTTCTTGTCGTAGAGCCGCTAAAAGTTTATCCTTGGTGACGATTTGCTCGGATTGTTGTTGAATCAAATCGAGATGAAGAAGCAAGAGCTCCTTGAGATGTTTGACTTCTGTAAGATCATTCTGGCGTGGTTCATTACCTCGAAGAGGGCTGACACCAAGAGCGGAGGTGGCAGTGGCTGCCGCGGGAGCTCCACCGTCTGTCATGCTGGCGTACATGTGATCGAAATCACAGGGGAAACTGAGTATTCCGGCGGCTGGTTTACCATCCTCGTCAACGTTTTGGAATTCATTGCGGGAGCAACTATTATTTTGGTTGACGACAGAGTTACCAGTAGTGCTGGTCGTCGAGACCGTGTTGCTCCGAACGCCGCTGGTCGCCGACGTAGTAGACAAGTGTTCGTTCATCGCCGCGACCATGTTGTCGTCGTCCTCCTCGTCGTTATCCTCTTCCTCGTCTTCTTCGTAACAAGGAGCAGGAACGATCGTAGTCGTTCGATCGTCGTGCTCAATGATGGTGACGGTGGTGGTGGTGGCGGTGGTGGTGGTGGTAGTGGTGGTGAGATTGACGATTGGCGTCTCAATACACGTTCCTGTGTACGATTCCTGGAATTCGGTTTCGCTGTACTCTGTTCCTGAATTCACATCCCCTTGATCGCGTATCTCTTCGTGATTCTCTGGTGTCTTGAGATCAGAGTTAACGTCACAAAACTCCACGCCGACGACGCCCCCGGCGGTCAAGCCGGTAACACAGACACCGCTATTACTACCACTGTCACCGTTACCACGAATGGTGGAACAACCACTACCACTACCGCTGTCACTAGTAGCACTAGAAACAGTAGTACCAGCACCAGTACCAGTGCCAGTACCAGTATCAGCACCAGCAACGATAGCAGTAGCGTTACTAGTATCACCAGCAAGAACAACTATGGAAGAGCCAGTGCTGCCAGCAGCGCCGCTCTCGTTTTCTTTCCTGTTCAGGTACTCGTACCCGTGAACGTTCTCCTTCTTATTCTCACCGTTCACGAGTTTCGAGGCCGAGCCACTCGACATCTTCCCTCTCTACCACCCTCGCCGTGGCTTCCCACTTCTTCATTTGTGGCCGCCTCGAGCGTACCACGCGCCCGCACCGCGCACATTAAGCGTCTTGACAATACCTTCACCGACAATGCCCTCACCGCAACTCTCTGCTCCCGTCACATATCATTACCCTTCACCAATCCTTTACACCGTCGACTCTGCAGTCACTTTGATTCAAAAGATATCCTTTTTCTATTCCTTCGTGTTTGAATACTCGTCAAGAAGTATATCCGCCACTGGCAGCGCACGAGGTGCCTGTCGTCCAAGTTCCTATACTTGTGTTTACTCTGGCCAACGATGCGAGCCGCGCGCGGCGTTTCTGTGCCTCGTAGCATCCTAGACTCCTGACATCTCGCGGTAGTAACCACAAACGTTGTCGTTTCATTTGCCTTCCCCATCGATCAGCTACTTCGGCATCGACGAATGTCAATGAGTGCAACCTTTTCTTCTCGCTCTCTATCCACAATACATACCCTCTAATGCGACTTGCTCGGGGTAACCAAACAAACGCATGCGTGCTGTACGAATTTGAAAAGTTTACCGGTACATTTCGCATTACGGCACCACTATAAAACGCTAAAAGTATTTAAGCATATACAGTCAGACAAAAGTGAAACAGTCCAAGCACTTTTCTACTTCCATGTTATTACGATAACAAACTGCAACGATAAGTCACCTTCTATAAAAATCTTTTTAAGCAACTTGGATTGTTCGATAAAGTAAACAAGAATGGTAATATTTGTTTACACGTATTACGATTATTAAGAGCATGTAGCGGTAATACTATTCTCTATTAGATTATTTGGCATCAGCTTTGCCCGTTACGCGATAATTTTAGAAAATTTTTGATAATACGTCATTGAAAACTATTTATTTTTGAATATTTATTTTCGTATTGCCTATGCGCATATAACGTTGAATGTCTAAGGAAGTATAAAAAGTTATATACACATGTGAACGATAGTTTCGCAGTGGATAAATTTAGCAGAAAGTAAGTGTGTTTTAAAACTCTGTTACATTGTTATTCTCAGGTCCGTCAATTTTATCGATCTTTATTCATTATTGGAAAATGATCGATAGATGTCGGCTTAATTTACGAATAATCAATTTGCACTTCATAATCAGTGATATTACATAAAATTTTTATTACGATGATTTGTATATTGGCATCAAAAGTTACAGTCTATAATGCGCGTTACATGTATTTTATAATATTTTACGATGAACGGTGAAAATGATGTGATGCAGAAATGTTTTAAATAATTGTCATGATTTTACGTATGATCTCACAGATATGTTGCATCATTTCTTTAGCAAAGACAAAAGGAAAAAAAAGAAGAAAAAAAAAAGAAGAATTGATATAGGTGTTGCGTATAAAAGAGGAAGCTAACACTAAATGCTATAACTGTACCGCAAAGAACTTATATATGTATATGTACATGATATAATTGGTGAATGAAAATTCATGACTCAATTACCAATATCGTTGCGTTGTACTAATTTTTCGAGTAATTCGGTGCTTTTTCATAACGCAAAACATATGTGCAGAAAACTTTGATTTGAATCATTACATATAGTATTTAGACAGTTTATTGCCTGCTATGAATTTATTTTAAATACACTAAAACCATAGTCCATACACGTCAGCTAAAAGAAAAGTAACGCTTTTTATGCTTTCATCGACATTCTTTTTGTCGTTTAACTGACGTCTATGAATGTCAATTAAATTCTTCAATTGATCTACGAGTTGCGGTAGAATCCTTAATTTCCACTGTTATGTAAATAATAAAATGCGCTTCTTGTTCAAGAAGCGCCTCAAGCCTCCAAGGCTCGAATATATGTATAAACAGAATTTGCAAGTTAAACAAAATCGTATTTTGGGTAAATTTAGTAAACAATTATTCATTACTGTATCCATTATTATTGCGTCTATTTTGAATCGATGATAGTATGTAGCATATCGGTGTGCCTCATAGTTACGAGATGATTGAATAATTGGATAAATACCTAATAAATTTATGCCATCTTTACAATTATTATTCAGTTACTTAGTTTCAATCGGTCGTTGCCTCATTTGTTAGACTTCAGAGCTCACTGATATGATCACCATTTCTCGAACAATATATTATACATATAGCAACATCGTAAATATAATTGTTAAACATACTTAACAAATATGATAAAAATTTGAAATTGTCCCATGTAAACATTTTGTCGCGTAAAAATCTCGGTAAAGCGAACTACTTTTTTTTAACTCGTACGTTAGAATTAGATATACAAATCTAATACAATCTACACTGATATTGCAAAATTCTTTTAGTTCGATTTACGAAATTTGTACGTACTTGAGCGTCTAAGATTAAAAAATCAGTAATACCTAATAAATTTATGCTTTTCTCTTTCTCTTCTTCTTTTTTTTTTCTCTTTTTTCATAACATTTTTTTATAACATTCATCGGCACACCGTAAAAGAATGCGTGTTCTGATAAATTTAGTATTAAGAATACAGCTACGTTTGAGTATTATGCGGGTCGAAGGATGCATACGGGAAACAAAAATTTATATTGCCGATTCACGGTGCAACGTTGCGTAATTCCTCTAAACTATTTCATATGACATTTCAAATGGTTTTGTGTTATCGTTCACATTAATTAAATATCTAATAAATATAAAAACAACGGTATACAGATTTAAACATTCACTAATTACATGCATGTATAAATACAATTCTTTTCTACGCTATACGATACTATCCTACGTATATTTCTATGTTACAGTACTTCTTATTTTTCTCATTTTGATAAAATGTTTGCTTCTTACAACACGTATGACAAAATTCATAAAAGTTTTTCTAACCTTGTATATATGTATAGTGAACAAAATTCTAAAAAAAAAAAAAAAGAAAAAAAAACTCGAATACCATACACGTTGTACAATAGCAAAATATTGCTTAGAATGAATCTCACGAGTTTCATCAGCATTATGTTACATTTATCTCGTATCAAGTATAGACTTACATTCGTAAATATTTCGAACGGTTTTCATGCAGATGCAGTTTCTACCAAGTTAACTTTCTGTTAAAAAAATAACTTCCAATAATGTAAAATATACAAGAATTTTGAAAAAAGGTGTCATAACAGAATGTACCAGATATTATTTCGGTATTTTTATGACTAGAGTAATAATATTTAGTATCGATATAATTAAATAATATCGTTTCTTAACTCTTTTTCGACAATACAGCGTTTAAATAAGTGTAAAAACAAATATCAGCTAAATTTCTGAATTACACTTAAGGAACTGTGATTAAAATATTTTTTCTCTTTCAAGATATTCTTGTATCTCTTCCTATCAATAGCTTCTTCGTTTATACAATGCTTTTTTATTGTTCATATATTTAATAAAAATGTATTTTATAAATAAAATATTCGTCTCTCTCTCTAGACTTGAGCTTCATTTAATTCCCTAAAACTAAAGTGTCAGTTGAATGTGTTATCAGCATTATCAGTTTCGTTCGAAGTTGACGCTCATAAGAAAGAAAGAAAGAAAGAAAAAAACAAAACGAAACAAAAAAAAAAAGAGTTGAAAAGAAACGAGAATATTTGTTAAGCTAAAACAACGAATTTCGTAGTTTCGTAGTATTAAATATGTTATTCGCTACTTGATATTTCTTCGTTTGTCGTGATAAGTTTAACGTATCCATAATAATAGGAACTAATTTTAAGTTAAGTTGAAAATAAAATTTCATAAAAAAATATGCGCGACTTGACAGCGTCTAGAATACATTGAAAGCAAGGCAAGTTTACAACTTCTTACATTCTTTTAATTAGTCATAACAGTAAAATACAATTTTTCCTAGTAACGTTCCATTCAAAACTTTCATTGTCCTTAACACGTGTACTAGAACCAATAGCAATGGTAATATACCAGTTAAAAAGATAGATGCATTCATCGTAGTCAAGTCACGGACTCTTTAAAGAAATTCGCATCTACGTTCGATTCATTCATTCGTGAAAACGTTCCTTTCCTTTCAAGGATAGGTTTGTATTTAATATCTTAAGCACAATGGCAATATACCTATGAGTTGTTACTGGTACGATATCTGTCGGAACATGCTACTAATCTCCTCCATCGTTTTGTTCTTCGTCTCGGGCACTTTCTTGTAGATGAAGAAAACAAAGAACGCTTGTATTATGGCGAAAATAATGAATACGTAAGCACCTAGTGCCTCTTGCAGCGGCAGGAATCCGATACTGACGATGAAATTTGCCGTCCAGTTAACCGCAATAGCGACGGACGTCGCCGCGGGTCTCGCGGATTGATTAAACAACTCGGATACCAAGAACCAAGGAATACTACCTGGTCCAGTCGCAAACAGAACTACGAACATGATTACCAGTACAATTGAGAAGTAGGCAGCTGTACGAGATGTGTCCTAAAACAAACATTGCACGATGTCGATTTCATTTTCCCTTTTCCATTCTCTTTTAAATACTTACCGCGAAGGCGAGACAAATGGCGAGTAAGGCGGTATCGATAAACATTCCAGTGAACCCGATCATCAACAACGTCTTCCTTCCAGCTTTCTCGACAAGTATCAGAGAGATAAACGTCATAAGAACGTTCATCGCTCCGACGCCCATCGTTGCATTTTGGGCTGCGTTTTTATCCAACTGAGCCATGGTAAAGATCTTGGTGGAAAAGAACATCACGGCATTTATTCCGGACAATTGTTGCGCGAACATGATCATAATGGCGATTATCAATGGAATCCTAAGAGCAGGATTTACGAATAGTTCTTTCAGCGTGACCCTTGGCACAAGTTTCACCGATTCATATTCTGCCCTCATTTCTTCCATCTCATCGTGAACTTCGATCGTACCACGCAGCCAAGACAAAGCTGCAATAAATAATCCTCTGGTTACCGATAAACGTTGCGCTCCAATAATACGATAGCAGTTTGCTCGAAAGGAAGAAAGAAACGGTGAATGGGAGGAGAAACTTTCAGTATAAACGTACCTCTTTGAGCTTCCATGTCCTTTCCTTTACTGAGCAACAAATATTTCGGACTCTCTGGGCACAGTGGTAGAGTAAATACTTGGAAGATCGAAGGGACGATCGTCAGACATAAAAGAAGCGGCCATTGACTGGCCGTGCCCAAAATTTGTTCTAATCCAAGAATCTGCGACACCAAGATAGAAATGGTGATAACCAGTTGATAAACCGTACCGACAGCTCCTCGTAGGTGAATAGGTGATATTTCAGATAGATACATAGGCGCTAGACCAGCGTTTAATCCCGCATTGATACCGATTAGGAATCTTCCGACGATTATCATCTCGTAGCTGTTCGCTGTTTTCGCGCATCCCTCGAAAATTACTGTGAGCAGGACTAGGGCGTTGTTCAGTAGCAAGCCACCCTTTCTACCGAAACGATCCGCTATCGAACCAACCATAGAACCACCGATCATTCCGCCTACGCAGAATATCGATACCGCTATCGACCATATCATCGTTACATCCGACTGTTTCGTTGGTTGACCGGTACGATTCATTTTCAGCTCGCTAATCCAATCTTCGATGAGCTACAACAACATATCGTTACTCTTTCATTTCTTATTCCACTACTCTTACATGCACACTATTCCTATCATTTTTAATCAAAAACATTTCATCCAACTGCAACTATTTCAGCAACAACTTTCACTTCCAATTAATGTTCCTTAATGTATCAGATAATAAGCAGCCGCCGTGTGGCGCTTCTAAAAATGAATTTTACATTTAGAAATGGCGCAGATACATATAAAAATTCACGATAACTGACAAAGTAGCATTATACATATAACCAAACATCTAATTAACGATTCTAACACTGGCAATGAAGAAACAAAAAAGAAGAAACTTGGAAAGTTTTAGAAGAGATCGAAATGTGTTATTACGCAGAAACGATGAATTATTTCCTTATTCCTGAATTATTCCCTAATTACTAACTTCTAGAGAAATAAAAACATTTTTTGGTAATCTGCGAATAAACGCGATCGTACATTAGGCTGATATACATACATACGTGCATCGGTGCTGAGTACGAGAAAAAATGCTGACAATATGTCTTATGAAATACCTGCTGAGGTGCGTTAACAACACCAGTGTTGTACCCATGTTGAAACGATGATCCAAGTGCAGCAGCCGCAATAGCAAATGCCAACCGCCCGTTCAGACCCTGCAACAAACATAATTCCACCTTAGTCGATCGCTCCAACTCTTCTTCCTCTGTTCACCGATTATTCTATAATACTGTACGTATACTTGTAGAACAGAAAATCGTGTATTAAACGTGTTGTTGTTTTTCATTAGTAAGAAAAGAAAGATTCGATTGTTAATCGTTGTTATCGAGTAGTAAATCTAAGATCCGCTTGTATCTTACCGCTTTTGCAATACAAGGTAATTCAAGTTCGATCGTTTTAAGAGTCATCGAGAAATTCCAATTAATTCACTGAATCGAGCTGAATCGTACCGATGACAGATTAAAGAGAGTCTCGTTTCGATAGTTTATGCAAAATATATCGGTCTCCGGTGTTTTCAAACACGTGTCAAAGACTACTGTACGGGTCGGTACCCCCGCTACGCATTTTTATACCACTCCTCCTCTGCGCTACACAACCACACTCGACACATTATGTATACGACAGCACGTATATCGCATGTATGCAGTATATGTATAGGCATACATCTCAAGGAACTCTAACGGCCAGTGTTTCTCAAACGCACCGAAAAACGCACGTGACCAAAATTATCGTCAATTTTATTCCTATAATTGATTATATTCTAAATGGATTATTCGAAAGTCGAGTACGATAGATCTAAGATAAATGTTCAACTTCTGTGACGCTTTAAAGGACGATCTCCGTTCTTATCTGTAATCTTGCCACATCACTACCGTGACAATACTTGCTGGTAACTTCACTTTCACTTAGATATGTCAGTTCACGTGTGTGCATAAAGTAACTATTTTATGGGTTGTACAAGTATCCTACCGCAAGTGCTTGTTTAAAAAAAAGAAACGATAATTCGAAAGCGAACATTTAGTCAGGGTCCTACATGTACCTGACATAATCTATTTCTTATACTCCATGAATATGCATCCACGTATTATGAAACACATTAAAGACAAGTTTTCTTTGTACATCAGAGCAATGCTATAATTCACTTTTACCGTTGCCGTTTGCTTAATCTTCAAGCGATTTACTACTATTCGGAATGTAGCCAAGATTTCGGTGCGATCGGTCCAAAATCGAAACACAACTGCGAAACAAACGAAAGGGAAACAGCTTTATGTCTTTTGTTTATGTAGATATGTACGTACTTAAACAGTTGAAACGTGTTCACTTTTCATTCTTACTACGAGCATAAATATGCACATTTACAGAAAATGTACTTATCTTAATACACGTCTATCAATCGTACGTATATTGTTATTACGTACACTATATATGTATGTATTCTCATCCTAGTTTTTAAGATCGCAGTCGTAAAAATAGAAAGTTACTCGTTAATATGAACTTTGGAAGTTTATTTAAAGGATTGGACTTCATCAACCCCGGTTTCATTTTATCGCGGTACAAAAGTCACTTATCTGTCGTTTCGATTCGATCGAATTCTCTGATTCGAGAATTTCAGAAGAAGAAAAGAAAAAGAAAAGAAAAAGCAAACGACACGATCCAGAACTGTGCGAATGAAATTGCTTCGCAAGCATGTTACATATGTAGTTGTGTATTCCATTCACATTCAAATAGAAGAACGTCTGTTTGAAAAGTATATTTCACGTATTTGAGAAAGAATTGTTATTGGTAGTGGTGGTGACAGAAATAATAGTAGTAACGAAATTCCACTCCGGTATGAAGTGTATACGTCAGTGTAGTATAATTCTGGAACGAACTCGTTAAGAAAGGCAGGAAGAAGCGGAAATTTCCCGCTCTTCGAACCTCTATCAGAGATTGGCCGATGTAGAGGTGTGTCGATCGTGGTGCAATTCCTATTGGTTCGCGTCGCCAAGCCTCTTCGACCAGAGTCTCGTGGCAAGCCCGCGCGTCCTAATTATAGTCATCTACCACACCACACGAACGCCAACATTTTATCCAAACTTTTAACCTATCAGATCGATCATCCGCAATTATTTGTCAAATAATTTCCCGTTTCCTATTTTACAAATAATCTTGTAACATCGTTAAAGTCAAGTCGATGTATTTCTGATGCAAGTTCTTATCTGCATTTTCTTATACTAAGAAATTCACACCAATTTCTTTCTTTCGATATGCAGAATTTTTATAGAAAACTTTTGAAAGAACGAAACGACGAAATATATTACGACAAAAATTAATCGGCATTTTTTCGAATTTTATTGTAAAGAATAACTTATTCATTTCAAACATATTTTTTGTTATAATTTATTCCGCGGGCAAAGGTAAGAGAGTAACGTTGTTTCCAGACTGGTATCCTCGGATATTTATAAAAATAGCTATGGATACTTCGATTTTTAACCAGTTTTTCAGCGAACGAATCTTTTTTCCTTCACACGTCAACAATACTGCAGGCAAATGCTTGGAAGTTTCGAAAATATTTTACTGCTAAATTCACCGGCGTCTGTTCATTCGCAGATACCGTCTAAAAAAAAAAACTGTTGGCGTAGTCTTTAAAATTGTGAAACCAAAATTCAGACGTACCAATTTACATTTAAACGTGTGTTAATCTTATTTACAGATACTTTATTTGCCTTTTATTCAGATGCTTTTAATATGTATGATATTGAAAGTATTGCGATTTTGCATCACTTATTAGTTTACGTCATTCCTCGTACGACGAAAAGAATACCAAGTGTTATTCTCATTTAGTTTAATAATTACATATTACGAATACATAGATAACGACGAAACTTTTAGATGAAAAAAAAGAAAAAAGAGAGAAAACAATGTGTATTACACGTTTATAACGTGAAATCTAGAGAAAAAGAAATAAAGGGAGGCCTTCTTCCATCTGTCTAATCGTTGGTAATTATTACAGTTAGCATTTATCTATTTTCAAAGACCCATGTTCCCAAGAGAATTTCCATACAAATCACTATGAATATTTGTCAAATTAATATACATCGGGTTAACGATCACTTTTGTCTTTCAACTGTTTCGCAATAGTTTGTTCAATGCTACTTTTGCATGACAATGGAGAGGACATCTTTTGAAGGAACGCGAAATATTATAACGATAATTTCGTCTTATCTGCCCGGGATCGTTTGTTCGCAGATACGAATAAAAAATCCGAGTGAAATTCTTCGATATTACATTGCCTGATCGCAATTGAAACAATGTCAGCTGTGCTTGGCATAACGCATACCTTAACTAACACTCTGTAGCAGTCCGAGTTATCTGGTACAACCTTGGCTTAATGTAAGGCTTAACATAGTTTCGGATTAATGTCATCTTCCATTAATTTCCCTTCACAAAGGAATTTTTTTTTACCATTTTCCAAATAATCCGAGATCATCGATACAATATTTACCACTAAGGTCGGCTAACCAATATTATTCAATCGTGTCTACTAATGTTATGCAAACTCCTCCATCGAGAGGGCAAGTCTCGATCGTTTTAACAATCGTCACGAATTTTCTCATTTTCTACTTTAGTTGTACAAAAGATGGTGCGGTTTTAAAAACGTTTCAATTACTATAAAACGACTATTACTCCTTGTGCAGTACATTTCCGATGATGCAATATAATATATTCAATGTTACGCGTTTAATGTAAATCGATAAATTATTTTTTAAAACATTCAACTTCAAACGAAACGACCTAATGAAAAAGGGGAGAGAGAGAGAGAGAGAGAGAGAGAGAGAGAGAGAGAGAGAGAGAGAGAGACGGTGACGTAAATACTTGAAAGCAGGTGACTAAAAAGCTAGAAAAATAGATTCTCCGCTTTGAACGCTTCTTTTTGACTCTCAATCTTCCTTCGCTCCTCGAAATAAAAGCTCCGAGTGTTTCGAGCACAATAACTTAAGCGTAATTATTACGGTTTCGCAATCTTCTAATTAAAACGTGCAAATCGAATGTTAGCGTTGTCTCAACGCAAATAACATTCACACGCCATTGGCAGTGGCCAGTACAATAGACGATTTCGAAGAATGTTTCATCCTTTCCAAACTGAAATCCCCTGACAATAACTGACAATAGCTAACGATACCTTAATAATTGAACCATCAACGTTGATGTTACGGGACACAAGAATAACAAATCACAACACATAGATAGATAGTCGGTAGAAAAATCGGTATCGCGTTTGAATGGAATTGAATGATATGATTACCTGTAGCCACCCCCCATGCTCGTTCATGGTAAACCGCTAAAATTTCGTTAGTGCTTTTTAATCACTTTGTTGAAGGAACGTTCTGCGATCACTTCCGTATATAAGTATATACAAATCTCGAGAGAAGATCGAACGAATCGAACAGATGCGAGACTCCAGGACACAACGACCGAACCGTTCTGTATCACTGTCGCGTTTAAAAGCTACTGAGACACAACATTCACGCGAGCGGGACGAAAGCCGATTTTCCAAACCAGTCGTGCCTCCCTCTCCCCTTTGCTCAATCTCGTTCAAGACACCGGTGGGCCCCCTCGACGAATCCCATTGGCCGATATACCAAACTATACCTCTCTCTACGGTCGTGCCTCTCTCACCATTTCTCCCAAAGGAATTTCATGTTATGAGCCGTTTCGCTTGCACTTGCTTACGTATACGTATACTCGCTTCTCTTCTTCTACCTTTCTCCCCCATTAACTCACTTTACCATCACGGCTGTACTTTCTGCCCCGTAACGTACGTCTTCATTCCTCGCCGAATCATTAAGAGTACAATGGAATATTTCGAATATTCGTATCTACGCATAAAGACAAACTCTTCGGCACAAATGATGGTTTTTTTTTTCCCCCGGGGAATCAGAAATAGTTCTGTGTGTACCAATCCGATCGATAACCACTTCTTGATTACAAATCTGATTCATCTACAGAATAGAACTGATAATGTAAAGAAACACTCGAAACTCACGCGACGTATTAATACGTCGTATTAATATGTACATAATTATCACCTTGCACTGTATAGTCGAGAAGTATTAAACGCTGCGGTACCGATACATCTTGATTTCTTACGGTTGTCCTTGTCTTTCGGAATATT